TATAGCTAACATATTTAATACAAATAAACTATATAATTTCCCCTCAAAAAAAGGGAAAAGGCAAGAATGTCCACTCTCACCACTTATAGAAGTGTATTTGAAATCCTGTCTAGTGCAGTAGCATAAGATAAGGAAATACATAAATAAGAAAAAAAGAAATAAAATTACCTTTATTCACCGGTGCCACAAATGTCTATGTAGAAAATTCTAAAAGATCTTAAACAATATATACTCCTTGAGGAAAAAAAGCAAGTATACCAAATATACAGAATGCAAGGTCAACATACAAAAGTCAAAACCACTTTCCTATATAGAGGCAATGAACAATTTGAATTTGAAATAAAAACTGGACATGTCTGCATACCAGCCGCTCAGGAGGCTGAGATAGGAGGATGGCAAGTTCAAAGCCAGCCTCAGCAATTTACCAAGGTCCTAAGCAACTCATGAGACTCCATCTCAAAATAAAATATAAAAAGGGCTGAGGATGTGACTCAGTAGTTAAGCACCCAAGGGTTCAATCCCTGGTACAAAACAAAGAGAGGAAGACAAAGAAAGAAAGAAAAAGAAACTTGGAACCCAAATGGGGAGAAGGAGAAGGAGATGACAGAGGTAGTGGGGATGGATTGCTCAGTGGCCTGAGGGCCCCGCTGAAGTTGGAAATTCTGACTGTTAGGAGCAGCACTCTAAACATCGGTACCCTTTCTACCACAGTGGTCCTTATTGGGATTGGAGCAACCAGATGTTTGGAGAGTCCTCCAGTGGGGACTAAACAGTGCATATATGGGGCGCACAAGGGGATGATGGTGTGGTCAGTACTAAATTAATGGGCCTCAAGATGCTGGTGGCATAAGGAAAAAAAGTGACAAGCAAAGGAAAGCTTGGGGCACAGGAGCCCTCATTGAGGTCAAAGAGCAGATGATGTGGGACCCAGCCATTGCTGGAAGACATGGGTCTCAGTGGGATGTTGGGAGTTGAGTCTTTCAGAGGTGAAGCCATGCCCAGTGAGGCCAAGGACTGGGGTTGGCTGGCGTGCTGAGACATTAAAGGGCAGACAGGTCTGAAGCTAGAGTGTATGAGATGGGTCTTCTGTGTCACCCAGCAGGAGGACAGGACTTGGAGTGTCAAGTCCTTAGAGTATGGGGATGATAATGCTCATATCTATGCACACTCTCAGCCCCAGTTCCTTAGTTACTAGGAAGGAACATAAGATTGGGAAAATTTTTTTGTTTCAGAGAAGGCCAGAAAGTGAAGGGAATGTTTTGAAATACTTTGCTTTACTGTTCATTTCTTGGTTTTCAGTTGAGTGAAAAAAGCACAGGTAAATTCTTTGACACAAACACGTGTTGTGATTTCCCCAGTCATTGGGATTGGAGTTCACACTTTCAACAAGGAAGCTTCGGTTTTCTACTTTTTTTTTTTTTTTGTACTAGGGATAGAACCCATGTGTGTTTAATCACTGAGAAATATCCCCAGCACATTTTTTATATTTTGTTTAGAGACACGGTCTCACTGAGTTACTTAGGACCTGGACAAGTTGCTGAAGCTGGCTTTGAATTCGTGGGCCTCCTGACTCAACCTCCCAAGCTACCAGGATTATAGTCATGCACACCAGGCCTGGTTTATTTTAGTATTTTCACCCCCCACAAAATCCTGGAATTGTAGTCAGGACGACTGTCTGAATCATATCCTTAGATCTCGTCTTGGGTAAATTATTTCCAAGTCTGAGCCTTAGTACAACAACCATAAAACAACAAAGTGGAACTGGATAAACTACATTTTCTTCTGGCTCTAATATCTGTAAGACCCAGATAAAACTTTTAGTATCTGACTGAAATATCACAATTTTTGTCTAACATTAGGCTTTCCTATCTGGAAAGCAAGAACCTATATGGAAGAAAAGTGAAGTTCACTTGTTGAAAGGGTAAACCCCAATCCAAAATAAATGACTGGACACATCACAATGCATGTTTGTGTCAAAAGCAGAATGTCAAGATGCATGAGCCAGTATAATCTAATATTTAAACAATCCAGCTTTGAATACTGGCTATTTTCCCACTAACCAGCTGTATAATTTGTGCAGGTTATTTAACCTCTCTGTATCATTTTCCTCAAGAATATAATGAAGATGACAGTACCATGTATCTCATAGAGTTATTGTGAATATTAAATTAAATGATGCATGTAAAGCTTTTAACACATTGCCACTTTGAAATAATATGTGTTAACTATCATTATAATTATTACAAGATTATTATTATAGGAGCCCAATGGTACATGTCTGCTGTTTATAAAGCTCTATGCAAGGAAATATGTTAGACCAAACTGTATAAAAATAAATGACATACATCATAATACTTTCTGGGGCCCTGTCCTTGACATGGGAAAATTTCAAGTCTGTCATGATGCCATAAACTTTCAAGAAAGTTTGGAGGTCTCATCAATCAAACAGTAGTAAGTTATTCCTCTTACCCTCATAAGTCATATGTCCCTGGATGTTTCTAGGCTTTCCTTTTGCACCTATTCAGGAGGACTGTATCAGTTGAGAACATATAGTGGTCCCCCCTTTATTATACTCCTTTCCACTTAATAGGGGTTTTTTTTTTTTTTTTTGTATCAGGGATTGAACTCAGGAGCACTCAAACATTGAGCCACATCCCCAGTACTTTTTATATTTTATTTTGAGACAGGGTTGTGCTGAGTTACTAAGGGCCTTGATAAGTTACCGAGGCTGTGAGGCTGGCCTTGAATTTGTGATCCCCGTTCCTCAGCCTCCACAGCCTGCCTTAGCCTCCCCAGCCTTCCTCAGCTTCTCCAGCTGCTGGGATTACAGGCATGCAATACCCCACCCGGTTTAGAGACCATTTTTAGGCATCCTTCCTTATGTTACCTCTCCCTCATCTAGCCTTAAAACATTTACTCTATTTCAACACTTTCATCCTCTTCATTTAGTTAGGGCCCTTGTCCCTTTATTCCATTTATTTCCCATTAATCCTTCTACTTTATTCCATATCTCCCCACCTTTCCTCCACATCACTTCCTGATTTCAACTCCACATCACTCCATCCCCTATATTACATCTCACCCCTTCCTTTTTTCACGTCACCCTTTTCTACCTTTCCCACTCAACACATACCACATTACTCCATTTCCTTCTTTCCAGGTTACCCCTCCGCTTTTACCCCATGTCATCTCCTCCTCTGTATTCCATATCCCCACTCCTTTATCCCATGCCCCCTCCATTTATTTTACATCATTCCTCGCCTTTTCCAGAAGTTACCCCCTCCCCTTCAACCTCTCTATATTTTCATAAGTCACCCCCCACCCTCTATCATCCTCTACTCCATATTCCACATCACCACTTCTCTTTCTCTCATGATACCCCTCTTTATTCCACATCACCTATGCTTTATCCCATATTTTCTTTGATACTCATGACCCCTTCCCTGTATTCTGTTATCCTCTTTCTTGTTTATTCCACATTATCCCTCCCCTTTACCCCGAGTTATCTTTTTTCCACGTGATCCTTGCTTTTGTCCCATGCCACCTCATCTTTATTCCACATTATCCCACCCCCCTAATCCCATGCTACCCCCCCTTTGTCATGCCCTCCTCTTTGTTTTGTACCATTCCCCCCTTTCTCCCATGCAACCCCTTTCTTTATACCAGGCAACACACTTGTTTATTAAGCATTACCCCTCCCCTTTATCCCATGTCATCCACTCCTCTTTGATTTACCTGATCCCTCCCCTGTATTTTATTCCACTTTTTTTTTAAGATGGATGTCATACCTTTATCTTTATGTGGTGCTGAGAATCAAACCCAGTGCCTCATAAGTGCGAGGCAAGCACTCTACCACTGAGCCACAATCCCAGCCCCCACTCAATTTTACATTATCCCTCCCCTTTATCCCATGCTACCCCCTCTCCTATATCCCATGTAATCCCACCACTTTCCTTTACCCTATCATCCCTGCCTCTGTATTTCACATCACTCCTTCCCTTTATCACATACCAACCCCTCCTCATTCTACATTATCCCCCCACCACTGTTTGCCATCATCCCCTCCTTATACTTCACATGACCCCTCCCTTTTATCCCATGCCACACCTTTTTTATTTACATTATCTCCCCATCCTGTCACCCCCATCTTGTTCTGTGTCACCCTATTTATTCCACATTATCCCTCTGCTTTACCCTGTGTCTCACCCCTTTATTTCACTTCACCCCTTTCATTATGTCATCCCTTCTCTTTATTCTACACCACCCATCCCCCTTATCTGATCCTTGTTTTTCCCCACAACCCCTCTCCTTTATCCCCTATCACCCCCTCCTCTTCATTCCACACCACCCTCTCTGAAGTCATCCTTTTTCTACGGTATACCTTCCTTTTATCCCATGTCCTTCCCTTCTTTATCCCATGTTACTTTTCCATTTATCCCATGACACCCCTTCCTCTTTATTCCCCATTATCTCTACCCTTAACCCAAATCATCCCTTCTTTATCCTGCCACACACACCCTCTTTTTTATTTTATTTTGGTACAGGGGATTGAATCCAGGTGTGCTTAACCACTGAGCCACATCCCCAGCCCTTTTTATGTTGACAGGGTCTCACGGAGTTACTTAGGGCCTTGCCAACTTGCCTCTGCACCCAACCACCCCGTTTATTCCACAATTCCTTATTATACCTCCCATTTATCCCATGAATATCTTTGTGACCCCTCCCCTTTATCCCATGGCATCTCCTTTGTTGCATATTGCCCCTTCCCTTTATCCTGCCACCCCTTTAAATTTAGGACCCTCCACTTTTATCCTGTCATCCCTCCGTTGTTCCTCATCATTCCAGCCCTTTATCCCATCCCACCCCATTTTTATTTCACCTTTCCCCTTTATCTCATCATCCCCTTTTCCCTCTTTCCTCCTTCAGCTGTATAGTCACAGCTTCCCTATTCACCCACCCCCCAAAATGAAAAGGAAAAAGACCACAGTAAGGCAGGAATATATGCTGTCACAACACAAATGTTTATTAATGATTAAATGCCAGAGAAGTTTTAACAATCACAAATCTTCGAGCTCTGCGGTTGTTATCCATTGTATGATCAGTTTCTATCCCTCAATACAATACATTCTTCACTCTATGGACCTCAGCAGTTGTTACCCATTAGTATCAGCTGTAATTTGGATGTCATACATAACCCATATCTGTGTGTTACCAGAGCATGTCCCGCAAATTTGTACCGTCCTGCATAGAGGAACTACAGAGACGATAGATAAGAACATTTGTAATCAGGTGACTTGAACTACTTGGAACTATGTGTCCAAACCTAAACTAGCCCGTTTTGCTGACAACATGGTGTGAACACCAGCTGTCTTTAAAACAGATCCAGGTACTAAAGTCTAATTTTTCCTCTAACTTTTGACCCCAGAAAAGCTAGTCAGGCTTACACTTGAGGTTTCCCTGTTGGTGTGACCTGAGCAAAACTGCACAGAATTTAGGAGTGGCTTTTTGACGAGCCATCGGTCTCAATAATTTGGGGGGAGTATGGGGATCCTGAGGCGGCGGAGTTGCTGCGGGGACACGGCTATGAGTTGGTGTGACATGATTTAGCATTAATTGTCAGCTGTCAGTAGGCTGACCTAACGTTCTAGCATGCCTCTTGAGGGCCTTTCCAATAGAGCTCTCGGGAGGAGGGGCGGAAAGTAAGGAAAAACATGCAATCCCCTGCAGGGGAGGGAAAGCACCTCGAGATTTGTGAGCTTCTCTGGGACAGGTGTTTACCACAAATGTAACATCAATTAAAGGAGGGCTGCAGTGTGAGAAAGCCAAGACCAAGGGTAAAAGAGAAAGGCAAGGTAGCACCAGGGAGCCTGGGCATGACACAGAAACATCTCTGCTTTTACCAGCTGAGGAGACCAAGCATCCCCAGTGAAGGGGCTGGCAGTGTATTGGGAATTCCTATCCTGACCCGAGCATCAGGTGGAACTCCTCTCAGATCTATCTCCAAGATTCTCCTTCATGTTTCCTGTGACATCCCAGGTCTACCCCCACCCTTTTCCCCTGTCCGGCACCTTAAAGGAGGAAAAACACTTAAGGAAAGAAGTAGCTGATGCCAGATTTGGCCTCCTTCTCCCGGGGCACACGGAGCAATGGGCGGTCTTGCTCCGGAATGGGAGGGTTACCCGCTCCTTCCTCATCGTCATGGGAACGGGCAGTGCCGGGAGGCACAGCTGGCTCCTCAGAGGAACCTGGAAAATAGTAACAATGTTACTCCTAGACATCAGATAGCACCCACGGCCCGCGGATATAATTTTGGGTTTTAAATACAGTATGAGAAAAGACAGGGCAGGAATGATTATCCCCATTTCAGGAGTCAGTAAACTGAAGCTAACAGCACACAAGTTTCTAAAGCTCTCACCACTGTGGAAACTGGAAAGATAGGTTAGGGAACAGAATAGAGACCAAGCTCAGAGCAAATTAATGACACCACCAGGTAGAGGGGGAAGACGGTGACCTAATAACCACCACCACATAAAAAGAAGATTCACTAATTTTACCAAGCAAATGGGTATCAAAGCTGGAACCGGAAACTTAAAGCACTGCATAAAGGGCACAAAATAGATGTTACTCTTAAATGACTCAGGGCTAGGCTGAGACTCATTCTTAAGGACAGTGGTATCTACAGCAGATGCAACATCTGAGTCTTCTTTACCAATCGGAATTGCCTTTGGATTCTGAACTTCTTTAGGGTCGACATCTTTAGGCATTGGGACTTCATCCACATTCATGACTTCTTCCAGATTGACAGCCACGGATGGCAGAGGGTCTGGAATTGTACTGGAAATGGAGACATCTTCAGTCTCTGGAGTCACAGTGTCAATTTCACCATCTTCAAAAGCCTGGTCTTCCTGACAATCTGGGGTTTCATTTTGAATTTGGGCATTCTCAGGTTCTGGAACCTCACTGAGAACTAGAAGGTAACCTTCAAGAGTGGGGTTTTCTTCAGAGTATTTGTTTCCATCGATGTCGGAGTCTTCTTTGTGCCCTGAACATTCCTCCACATCTGAGGATTCTTCCAGATCTTGAATTTCATCAAAATTGATGGTATTTTCAAGGGCTGTGATCACAGGGATAGCCTGGACCTCTTCAGGGGTGGGGTCTTCAGAATCTGCAGTTTCTTCATACCTTGAGATTTCTTCATCATTTGGGAGGCCAGGAAAAGCTGGGACCTCTTCAACATCAAATTCTTCAGGGTTTGAAATCCCATTGACCTCTGGGAATTTTTCAACACATGGGGCTTCATCAATACCTGGCATTTCTTCAAGACTAGGGTCATCATAATCTGTGGTTTCATCCTTATCTGAGACATCTGCATTGTCTGGGGCTTCCTCATTACCTGGAATTTCACCAGCTTCCGGGATTTCTTCATTGTTCTGGATTACGTTAAGATGGGAAACTTCTGCCAGGCCAGGATTGTGGTGGTTTTCAAAATTTGGTCCTTGTTCGAGATTGGGATTCAGATTTCCTAGAGGGTTCAAGATTACTTGCACATGTGAGGGTCCTTCAGGTTCTGGAACTGGATCAAAGTTAGGTATTTCTTCTTCTAAGTCTGGGATCTCAATGAGTTCTGGAATTTCTTCACCTAGTCCTAGAATATCCTCAAGAGAAGGAAGATTACCAAAATTCAAGGGGTCGTCATCATCATTGTCGTTGTCGTCACCATCATCATCATCATCATCATCACCATCATAATCTTCTTCATCAAGCTCTGGTATGTCGTCAAGGTAACCTTCAATTTCAAGGTCATTTGGGAGCATAAAACCTTGATTGTTCCCAAAGACTACTTGATTGAAATATTCAATTACTAGCTGTTCATTGACTGACAAATCTTCCTCAGAGTAATCATCTTCAGGAAGGGCATGGTCGTCAGCAGGGGCCTGACCCTGAGCAAGGGTTTGACCCTGAGGAAAGCCCTGACCCCCTGCAGGGAACTGACCTTCAGGAAGGGCCTGACCTCTTGAAGGGAACTGACCTTCATCAAAGGGCTTGCTTTGACCAAGGACAGCAGCACGGGCTTCAGCAGAGGTTTCCACTGGATCAGAAAGTAAAGCATCTTCTTCCATCTTGATGCGGGCACTCCTGAATGGAAAGGAATGTTGAACAAGTTATTTTGTATTTGCACTAACTAACATAAAGATCATGTGGAGTTGGAAGCCCCCATAGAATAATGTCCTTTAGGCTAAATTGAAAAAAAAAAAACTCACTGAATCCTTCTCAGATTCCTGCGACGGATAAAATCAAGAGCTTCAGGACTGGACTTCCACACACGCTTGGCAACCTGTCTCTGAATATGAGGCGGCACCTGAGAGTAAAATTAGCAATATTAGTCTTTATTGCTCGGCACCTTTTCATTTATGTCTCCATCAGGTACCAGGATTGAAAGACAACCTCCAAATTGCTGACCATCTAATTTGGAAGGAAATTCTAGACTGGGAACTTTATCTGCCTGCTTTGGTAACCACATACAATTCTCCCTTGCTTGGTGAATAAAAGAGGACTGTGTGAATTAAGAATATCCAAAATTTGCATCTACCTGAAAAAGAACATCCCAGTTATCAATCATGGCACGGACCACATTGACAGAAGCAACATAGTGGTCAATTCCCAGTTTTGTCTTGCGGGACTCCCTCTTGCCAAATTTTCCCTTCTTCAGGAGAGCAGATCCAAACACGAGAGCCAAATTGGTGGAGGTCATGCGGTTGCCAGGAACCTAGGTACAGGAATGCAGAAAGTAACTGACCTTGAGATAGTATTAGAAGTTGTACAAATGGATATACACCTCTTTTTATTTGTTTCACTTTCTTTTTACCACTATATTTTCTCATACACTTGCGCACATGTCCCCTACTACAGTTCTCACCACCCTTTCCCCGATCTTTTTACCAGCTGTCCATCAAGTCCAATGGAGTCCTCGCAATGCTCAGTAATTTTATGCAATGCCTTCAGCAAGCGCTCCAAAGTATCACTGTGGCAAGGTGGCATCAGATAAACAAGCAACTGCAGGGCAGAAAGCTGATCCTGGGGCTTCAGAGCTGAAAAAAAGGAAAAGAGGGACCAGCTTAGCGGGCTGGCCTTGGCAGCAACCCAATACCAAGGGAGATGAGCTACTCCAAATTGCTGATGGCTATGCAGAAACTACCTAAATAACTTGCCTTTACTTGTGTACAAAGATTTGAGTTCAGGAACCCTAAGAGTAATAAGTGTTCCCACCATGAAAACCAGACCTCTACAGAATCTGGGTGGTTCTTTGCCCTGAGAGGGCACACACAGTTTTAAGAAACTAGAGAAATTCCCAAGTAACAGATTTATAAAGAGACAAAGTAACTTGGAGACGGTTTGGGAAGATTTTTATTTTTAATTGACAAATAATATGCATATTATATCCTAGAGAGGTGTTTTTCATCTTCTGATATTCTTTTGGACTTAGGTCCTTGGGAGTCACTAGACCTCTGACATTTCCTTCCCTTGCCCCAACAAGAGAGGGCAGAAGACTTACTTGCAGTCAGAAGAAAGGACATGTACAGATCATCTGGCAGCAGAGAGTCCTTCATGTCACGGAAAAACTCCTTGAGGAGTGCAGCAATATCATGCACATTCTGATTGTCATCCAGCACTACATCCAGACCTTGATCAAATGCTTCACGGAGCTACAAGGGAGAAGAGACATGGTTTGTCCTGCTCACTACAGGCTCCCTCTTGGTCATTCCTTCAGGAAGTCTCAGGCTTCAGGGGAGGTAGCTAGCATAATATTGTATGTTGGGGACTAGAAAGAAGACCTTATTTCCACAGTCATGAAACTACCATCATGTCTCTAGGCGAGCCCCCACTTCCATCTGCTTTTACTTGACCAAGAACCAAACCTGTAAACATAGTCAATTTACCTTACGCACTCTCTGCGCCGAATACTCAATGGTGAAAATCCCCACTGCCTTTAAGCCTGAAAGAAAGAAAGCAGATGATCCAAAAAATCTGACCCCTTTCCCCAGGGTGTTTCCCTGCTCCTTCCTTAAGAGCTGCATCCTAACCTCTACAAGTGCCAGGGCAATTTTATCAAGCCCTTGATCCCATGATCTCTTTTCTCTGTATTTCTATAACATCCTCTTTCTCTTTAATTGCCTCCTTTCATAATTTAACCATTTGCAGCTCCCTTACCATGTTCCTCAATGAATTTGCAGCAAGCCTCAACAACCTGGGGGATTTGTTTGGCAATTGGATTGAGACTCATCTTCCTTTTGGATCCAAGAAGTCGCTGGCCAATAGGAAATGAAACCCTTGAAAGTTGCAGGGTCTGCAGCAGCAGAGCCCCGTCCTCCAGCTCAGCCAGACTATCCACAGACACTGCACCCTGTGGAGAAATCCAGATAATATTAAAATGGGGGAGAACAAGGTCTAGATTTAGACATGAGTACTGTATGTGACATACAAAACAGGAGAGGTTCTATGTAGCAAGCCAAGTACACCCTTTCAGAATGTTTCCTTTACCTGTCCACCCCCCCCCCCATGAGGATAGAAGCCTTGACCTTCTTGTCCCACATCACTGCACACCTCAGGAATGGCCCCTGTCCGAAACCTGGTAGTTTAACTCACTCTACGCCCACGGCGAGTGAACTCCCGGGGCAGGGTGGGCTCATTCCGCCTGCGACTGAAAAAGCGCCTGATGCGGCCAAACATCCTTTGCACCACGTTTCCCCGACGACGACGGCCCGCAGCCTGACCGGTGGTGGCTTCTTCTATCTGCATCGTGGCTGTCAGTTCTTGATGCTTGCGGCGGGTGAGCTCGTTCACCAGTACCTCTTCCAGGCGAATGCCAAATGTCTTGAGAGAGACGTCTGGGGAGTCAGAGAGAGAAAGAATGAGAAACCTCAAAGCCCCGCAGCACTTATATCGGGAGGAACTGCAGGGACAGCTACCCTCCCCCAAGAACCTCCAGCAGACAACCCCACCCCTTCCACACTGCAGTGCCCCTCCCTGGGGAGCTAGCCAAAAAGACCCAGCAGTATTTACACAAAAGTATTCAACACTCAACTCAGCCCCACTCAACTACCCTGAAGGGGCTTAAGATCCTGCCAGGGGGTGACCACCTAGAAACAAGAAGGGCGATCTCAGGCTGAGCAGTCTGGGGCTCATCCACCCGAAGGCCTAATTAGGCTGGTCTGGGAGGACCGCCCCTAGCGCCTCAGCTTTGAGCCATTTCCCGATATCACCCTGTGAGGGGTTTCTGGGAGGGAGGGGGAGTGACTTGGGCGGCAGTGGGCCCCGCCCAGTCTCCAGCAGCCAGGGGCACACTATGGGGGGAGGGGTGCAGCACCCTATTTCTCCCAAAGAAATTACAGAAGCCCCTCACCCCTCTCTTGTCCTCTCAGAATCAAAAACCACTTCTCCAAGGTGTTGGGACGGTCAGTGGGTAGAGCTACAAGAAGAGAAAAAGAAAAGAAACGCACATTTAAATACAAATAGGGCTCAGATAAGTGACTCCAGCAGGGCTATACATTAATCCGCAGCAGGGAGCAAGGAAAGGGGGAGGGGGAGCTCATTCCAGCCCGCGAAAAATGTTTTGATTTCTCCCAGCCTCAGTTTCCCTGCCAGACAACAGGACCAATCTTATCTTACACACACGAAAACTCCGAAGATTTCATCAAACCCGATAACCTAAGGCGCATCTTGCTACGCAACAGCGGTCTCTCAACACAACACTTAAATATAAAATTCAGGGGCGCTCAGGCGCCTGAATCATGCAACAGGCGAGGGGAGGGGCTCCACCCGCAGCGCCTCTGAGAGTGAGGGTCGCCAAGTTACTGCGACGCACTCTAGCACCCAGGTTGCCGTCGGCTCCTAGCGCGGTGCCAGGAGAAGCAAGCGGCGACACCTGGCTGTCCCTAGCTCCAAATCCCACAGCTGCGGCTACCCGCGAGGTCTCCTAGCCCTCCGCTTCACTCAGTTCGGACTGCGCCCTCAGCGCGCACCTAGAGACCCCCGCCGCCCCCTGCACTTTCCAATGCTGCTAAAGCGCCCCTCCGCAGCGCAACCGCGCAACCTCCCCTACTCGGTGGCCAAATTTGCGCCGGTACCCCAGAGAATCCCCCCCACCCCTGAGCAAGCTCGAACCCTGTCCTGTGCAGCGTCCCGATTGTAGCCAGCTGAGGTGGGAAGCGCTCACCCAGCAGCTTCTGCTGCCACCTCCCCCCGAACCGCCCTCCCACTCTTTCGCCTGGTTTGGTGCGTGTCTCTCACTGTCTCTCAAACGCGGTGTCTCTGTCCCAGTCCTCTCTCCGAGTATCCTTCTGCACCTCAGTCGCCCTGCCCAATTCTGGAAACACACCTGGCGCCTCCCGTCTCTTCACCTGAGCTCACTTCTACTCAGTCTCCGACATTCGTTTATACCACCCTTCAACCCCTCCCCCCCACTTCCACCCAACTCAACTAATCTTTACCTCTTTTGCAATTCAATAGACAGCCTGCAACAACTCCCACTTCCTCAGGCGCCAGGGAATTAGAAGAGGCGCTACCCTTCCCTACTCTGCGGACCCTAAATCTGTCCCTTTGGCCCGGGGGTCCACTCGCCCAAAGGCGAGGATGCCACACTCCGGGGTACAGCTCACCTCGGTCAGGTCGGAATTCAGAGAGGAAATGCCTGGCCACGAGTTCGTGGTAAGCAGTCTCTTGCAGCTTCAGACGCTCCAGCTCAGAGAGGCTGTGTATTGACACCATCTTCATCCTTCTGTCGGGAATGTGTCCTGGGGCTCCTCCCAGGACGCTCACTAAAAAAATGAAGGCGGACAACAAGAGCAAAGTGGGCATGATTCTGGGGCAGCGTGTCCTTGCTGCCTTCAGAAAAGGAATGCAGCCACCCATTCTGGAATCGAATGATTATCAAGGCTGCATCATCCAATTGTCACTGGACCTGGTGGAGGGAACTATGGGGGGGGGGTAAATGGGGAGGGAAAACTGGGAGGCGGCTTCACCCTCAAGCAGGGCTGCCTCTGGTTGCTTATTTAAAAAAAAAAAAAAAAAACAACTTAAAAAAAAAACAGCTCTGAACAGATAGTCCAGAAAAGAAAAAACCTAATTAGAAAAAAAAGAAAGAAACCACCTCACAATTTTCTTTAGAAAGCAGTTTTGAGACAAAAATTAGTATTTTCTATTAATTAGAACATTGATGGTCTAGTTTTAATTTTTTCATGATATACTCAGTGCTGTCTGGATTGGGCAAAAAGAAGGCTTTCATTTAAGCTGGGAGCAATGTAAATTCTGTAAATTTATACAAAAATTATTCCAGAAAACAAACTGGACACATGGGTCTGGAACCAAAAATTGTCCCCAGTTTCTTTGACCGAATAATTCCCCTTCTAGGAATCTATTCTACTGATATCTTCCTACAGACAAGAAAATCCATATGTATATGAGCCATAATAGTAAAAACTTAAGAGAAAAAGCTACCCCCAGCAATGAAATTAGTTATACAAATTACATAATGACTATAGTATAAAAATTATGCAATCATAAAATGTTTACAAAGAGCCTTTCAACAAATAAAAAATACAGAATTGCAATTATGATTACAACTATGTGAAGGGAAAAAATGCATAAAAATTAAAGACAAAAATGTACCCAAATAATAAGCTTTGTATTAAGTGGTAATAATTTGTTTGACTTTGTCTTTTCTCTATTTACTGAAATTTGGGCAACTTGATTATATTATTTTTCATGGGAAAAAAATCAACATCTACCAACACAAACATTTCCAGACCATTTCCAGTCAGACTTCCTATACAACATTGGTGATCAGAGTGAAGTTCATTTTAGTATAATGGGAAACCTGTTTTATATGGCCTTTCTCCAAGGTCCCCACTACCATATTGCTCCCAGGTTGCATAGCATTCCCCAGTGGAGATCTCCCTGTACCCCATAGCATCTTTTCCTGCATATTCTCTGTTACCCATTTATTCTTTCATTCATTCACTAAGAAAAGAAATCTATTAATTGCCCACTTTGAGCCAGACACTACAGATTGAAAGGTTGAGCAAGATAATACTACTCTTCTCATAAAATATTTAACAATGCAGTGAAGGAGATACACAGGTTAGCAACAATTTACAAAACCTTGTGATAAGTCAGTCAGCCAAGATGTAAACAAAGTACTGTGAGAGGAGAAAGGAGAAAACATCCAACTTTGCCTGGATACAGCAAGGGGGAGAGTGTCCAGAGAGAACAGCTTATACAAAGGCAAAGAGATGGGAGAGGGGTTTTCATCTCAAAGCAATATGAAGGTATTGGAAGGAGATAAATCTGGATGGGCAGGGATGAGATCATGACTAGCCCTGTAAGCCATGTTCAGCAGTTGGACTTTCTCCTGAAGCCAACAGGGAACTACCATAGGGTGCCAGTCTGAGTTGTACCATGGAAAAAAAAAAATCAGAGAGCCATGAAATAACCTGGTCTGGGTTGAAAGCCTGAAGCAGGTAGATCACCAAAAAGACAAGGATTGCTGATACAAGTCAGTGTCACTGAGTAGAAGTGCCAGACTTGGGGAAAAATATAATGGAAAGAATTTAAGATATCTCCCAAGTTTATGATTTGGGTGCATGTGTAGATGCCGATTCTTAAAAGAAAAAATAATGTGATATAGGGAATTAAACCTTTTAACAAAAAAAAAAAAGAAAAAGAAAAAGAAAAAAAATACTCAACATACCACTTTTCCAAGCTTTCCTTTCCCCTGGAGTTTTATGATATTTTTCATGTAAAATTTGGAGAGGAGCTTAAATTTCAAAGATCAGGTAATATGGCTTTGACAGATATGAGGTAGATAAGAGATATCATACAATAATCATCTCAAAAAAAAACCTCTTGTTTCCCCCCAAAAGACATTCCAGCTTGAATTTTATTTCCAAAATTCTCTTTGCCTTCTTTAATAGCCAAAATCAAAGATATCAGACAAGCCTGCCAGATAACTGAGGTGCAATATGAGAAAGGATGGAGAATCTTCCTATGGCTTTGGAACTAAGCTAAAAAGAAAACCCCTAGCATTAATTTTAAAGCCCCTTCAACTGCAAAGCACCATCCCCTGGACCCAAAGTGAACACCCAAGGCCAACCACCAGACTGAAACCACAAAGTGACCATTTTAACCAAAGGCACATACAACTAACCAGTCCCAGACTAAACCTCTATAAATCTCCAATTCACAATAACAAGTCCAGAGCCCTTTAGTCGAGGGTCTCATGCTGACACATAATGTAGCTCCGCTTAATTTTTTTTATAACATCATCCCCCTCTCCCCTTACCCCCCAATCCAGTCATTTCTGTACCTGTCTTGGAGTTTCTTCTTGTGGAGGCTTACCAGATCTGATCAACCAAAGAGCAGAGCTGGTTCTTGCCTTAAAAACCAGGATGTAAATTAATCCCTCCCCTCCCCAGAAAATAAGGTAAGAACAAACAGTGAAATCTCAAATCAACACCAGCCCAAAAAGGAGAGAGAGAAAGCCTTTGAGAGATGAGTCAGCCTAGATGCTTACAATTCCGAAGGAAATCAAAGGCCTTAGAATAAACCGTTTGTCATTGCCTCCCTGCTTGAACATATAGGGCTAAACTTAAGAACAGTAATATGCTGCAGTTTTGCCAGCAAAATTGACACTGTCTTGCTTACCTTCAACCCTCTCAAGCACCAGTAGTACAAAAGACAGAAACATAGCTAGGAGAATGCCCAAACAAGAAGCAGATAGGTGGGCTGGGGAGGGGGTAAGAAGGCAGGCTTCAGCACTGTGGACAGACACAAAACAGTTTCTTGAAAATGTAATATTTTACATGTCCTCAGGCCTGAAATTCCAAACTGGACATAAAGGAAGGCTCCCCCTAAGAACCAAAGTGCTAAGAGACTTTTTTGCTTCAAAGTGTCTTCTCCTTCCCCCCTTTAGTGAACCATGGCACTAGCCTGAAGTGACCATGAGATCAAAAAGATGCTCAAGGAGGAATATGAAAGCAAATCAGCTCAGTTTCAATCTAGAATTCAAGACATCTGCAAAAATCATTTTAGACAAATATCTGCACTGGGCATTGGAGATAGAGCCAAAAAGAACAGAGTTCAAAGCCAAGCTTTATCATTGCTTGCTGTGTGACTGTAGGAAAGTCAGTTGAATTCTCTGGGCCTCTTTGGCCTAGTCCATAAAATAAGGAAATGGCATAAAACCCATCTCTGTGGATGTGTGAGCTGAATGTATGAATAATGTGATATGTAGCATTAGTTTTTAATAAATATGTTGACTTTGAAGGTTCTTTGCAGAGGGCCCAAGTTTACCAGAACACATCAGGCTTTAAAAGGAATTATTAATATGATTAGAATTTTTAATCAATGCATTGAAGCCTACTCTGTTCAATATTTTCTAAATTTGAATTACTTATTAACATAGGTAAAGCTAGCTGGGGAGACTATTGGGAATAGATCTTCACTCTTCAATTGCATCAGGGTCAAATATTTTTTCAGATCTTATAAAATTTAGAAAAACTGGGCTGGGGATATAGTTTAGTGGTAGACAGTTTGCCTAGTAGCCATGAGGCCAGCCCTGGGTTCACTCCCCAGCACAGGAAAAAAGAAAACTAGATAGTTTGATATTTCAACTATTATTCAGATTAAGGCTATCTAGTTTTACATTGTCAACAACAAAAGACAGTTTCATTTATATCAGTAAAAGAACAAAGAAATTGGCTGATAGCAAGCTAGAGAATTCGAACAGAGCAGCAAGGCACCCAAATCAAGTCTCCAGCAATACAAAAAAGAGGAAACACCCTTGGGTGGCATCAAGCCTGTTTCTCACGTCCTCCCAAAATGCACAGCACAGATGGAGAAACAAATTAACATTAGAAAGGTCACCCGCTTTGACTTTGTGAGGACGGAAATGCTCTCAGCTAGGCATAAATCCACAGTCTTCACAATGTAGAAGACTCCTTCACTGCCCCCATCCAATGGTTAGGACTGGTATGTGCTCACCAACTAGTAAACACCTAGGAGAAAAAAGCAGGGTCTGCACTGACGCTGTGGTTTGAATTCCAATCAATTAGGCACTTTATGGCTTCATCAGGACTTTGCTTCTGGCCACTGAAAGACCTTTGGAGTTTGAGAACTTGATACTGCACAGGGCTGGGTGCCCAAAAGATATTGCATCTATAATATTCAAATGTCTACAGGCAGTGAAATGGAGAAAGACATCCCCATTAATATATCACAACATGAGAGAGATCCAGGTCTGTGGATGAAAACATTTGGGCACCAATTTGGTCTGCTGATACATGACCTCATTCATCCCTGAGCATTAACGAGTTAGCCTTTAAGTTGTTATCCCATAACCTCCATTTCAGCAAAAGCTGCAGATGCGGGGAACAGAATGACTCATTCTATCCGTGTAGGTGGTAATGCCCCAAGACAATTAAATTTGGGGACAGTGTTTAATACGTGGTGTTAGACCATCATGCCACAGCAGAAGCTCATAAACTACAGGTAAAAGCCTTGGCTACAAAAAAGTTTCAGGAATTACTCAGAATATTAAATTGGTTCAGATAGAAGGAAACAGCCATCACATAGTCTAATACTTCCATTCCACAGTCCAAAAAACTGAGGCTCAAAGACAACAGCGATTTTTTTCCAAAGGCTATAAAGCAATTGGACAACAGAGCCTGGAGAAGAACCCAGTTCTCCTCAGTCTCAAGGCATTTTCTTCTGTCCTATCCACCTCTGCTCTGCATAGCTGCAAGATTCTGCATTGCTAAATAATGAAATGAAAAGAATGTACACATAATCAAAGCTAATTCTATAAAGCCAGAGGAGGTCATATCTGAAGGCAGGCAGCCACCACAAATTACAACATCTTTGTAAAATAAGTACAGTCATCATTCTATAGAACGTGGGATGCCCTTTTTAAATTTTATTGA